TTTCTCAAATGTACAATAGGAATGATGGTAGCTCCTGCTTCAGAGTTGATATAGGATCTATTAAGTTAACTCAAGAACAGCCCTTACACTGGTACTGGGTACACAGTGCTGTTTAAGTATTGGCTGCAGCATTATGATAGTGCCTCCTTACTGTGCTTCCGTGAGTCCTCTGCCCCAAAGGGCCACTGATGTCCAGTCTGCCACCTGCTCCCTGAGTGACCCAGGACGAAACTTGGAACTCTCCCGAATCTCTCTGAGTTGAGCCCAGGATCCCTTCCCACTCTGAATTCTCAGTGCCATGCCTGTCCCTAGGTTAGGGTCACTTGTCCCCCACTAGTGTGGCTTGGTACGCTGGCCTCTCCAACTCCAGCTTGGGCAGCAACCTGGTTCTTAGACCAGAAACTGTGTGTTGCTTTGTTTAGGTTCCTGACCTTGGGGATTTCAGCACTGGGTGTCATGGCTCTGTTAACAGGAGTTCAAAAGCACTGCCAAGAGCCACCTGGGGGGCTCAGATTCATCAGGTGATTCCTCAGAGAAGCCCTTTCATTCATTTGCTCAGTCACCTACTGTGAGCCAGTCACCATACACTGAGAATGCAGCAGAGAAGGGACAGGTGTGGCAGGGGGTGATGTGAAAAGCAGCATGAGTGCACCAGTTCATCTTTGGAACTGAACGTGCTGGGAGGTGAGACGGGATGACAGGATGGAACGTGGCTTTCTTGGGCACTCCCTGAATCAGGGTAATCAGGGATGGAATCCCGGAGGAGGTGGCATTTAAACTATAGCACAGGGTGAGGGAACAACAAGAGTTTTTAAATTCAGCCATGCATCTTTGGAGGGGCACACAGTGACACTGGGCTCTTGAAGGGTTGATTTCTGGGGCAGGAAGATGGACTGTTCAGGTGGGTGGCTCCCTGTGACATCAGAGCAGCAGGGCTTTGACTGTCATACCCCTTGCCTTGCCTGGGTTCAGAGAACTTGGAGATAGTGATGAATCCGCTGTGGGTTCAGTTCCCCTGCCAGGTCTTGTACGGGGGCCCCGAGGGAAGTAACCCTGCCCCAGCCCTGCTGGACTTGGCTGAGGCCACAGCTAGGAAAGTCCCCCACCAAAGCATGAGTGCCTGAGTTTGTATCAGCAGGCTTACTGCTTGCTAATAAGATATGCAAATTATCAGGGCTGTAAAATCTTCACCACGTTCTATCTTCTGTTTAATTAGCATTTAATTGTAATCTCGTTTTAATTTTTTCACACTGGCACCCTAATTAAATGTTAGGGTATTCATCTTAACGATTAAATTATATTGGCAAATACAGTCTTCAAGAAACTTGACCTTTTTCAAGCCAGGGCCCTCTCGAGCTAGATGCAGATGTTAATTAGACTTCTGTAAGATGCTGCCTCGAACCCCCTTGGTGCCCCCATTTCAGTTGTTTTCTTGCTGTTCTGGCCCTGGATTTGAATGAGACACACACAGCCAGTGAGTTGGGCCCCCATCAGGCAGAGGTTACTGTGAATGAGTTTATCATGAGCCCCTGGAAGGCCAGCAGAAGCTAACTTTTCCAGGGAGAGTTGGGTTTGAAGTTTGGTCTGAAGCCTAAAGCACTCCTTGAAGTGGTTTCTCTTGTCTCAGTAATGCGATCACTTCTTTAACTTGTGATTCTCATGTGGTGATCACTGGGAATGTTGGTACCTAAGCAAGTAACATAGTCTGGAGTTGCCACCAAGTCCCACAGCAGCTGGGAGGCCACAGTGAGGTCAGGCAACCAGGGCATGAGAGTGACTGCCGGTGCCGCTGAGCTAGGCTTGGAGATTGTTTTGGGGAGGTAAAGGAGGCAACAGACAGAAAGTTGGGAAGAACAGTTTCCTGAGTGACTAGAAGAAACCCCAAGCATCAGGGTGCATCCATGCAGTGGCCTGGCTCTGAGGGAATTTGGATGGGCTTGATTAAGAAGGAATTCAACCCATGCTCCTCCTCCCCCATCACACACTGAGGATGGAACTGTGGGGCCCCTGCCGAACAGGGGATCTGGTGTTTTTGCTCTTGGGAGACCTTGGAGACCCTGACCCATGGGAAGTCTTTCTCTGGGATACTCCAAACCCCGCCTCCCCTCAGCTGTTTGCATAAGGCCCTGTCTTCTGCCTGGGGTTGGGACCATGCACTCTTCATATCTTCACTGTGCCTATAACCCTGTGTTTGTAACTACAAACATCATTTTATTTATTTATTATTATTTTTGATCCTTATTATTGAATGTATTACAGATGTTCCTCATTTTTCCCCCATTGACCCCCTCCTCCCCACTCCCACCACCCTCCCACCTTTTCCCACACTGTTGTCTGTGTCCATTAGTTATGCATATAAGTTCTTTGGTTTATTTCTTAACACCCCCCAACCCCCTTCTCTTTGAGGTTTGTCAGTCTAGCAACCAATTTGTTGTTCTTCTTTTTTTTTTTTTCATTCTTTATTCAGACAGAGCGGGAGGGAGAGAGAGGAAGAGAGAGAGAGAGAGAAACATCAATGTGAAAGGGACACATCGAGTGGCTGCCACCCGCATGACCAACCAGGGCCGGGGACAAACTGCAACCGAGGTACATGCCCTTAGCGGGAACCGAACCTGGGTCTCTCTGGACCGCAGGCTGGCGTTCTAACTGCTGAGCCAAACCGGCCAGGGCCAGTTTGTTCGCCAATTTGTTGTTCTTAATCCCTTCACCTTTTTCACCCATTCCCCCAACCCCCCTCCCATCTGGCAACCAACAAAATGTTCTCTGTATCTATGAGAATGTTTCTGTTCTTTCTGTTCATTTTGTGTAGATTCCATTGCCGATAGATATGTATTCATTGCCATTTTGTTTGTTCATATATTTTATCTTTTTCTTCAAAAAGACCCTTCATCATTTCATATAATAATGGTTTGGTGGTGATGAACTCCTTTAGCTTTTCCTTGTCTGGGAAACTCTTTATATGGCCATCGATTCTAAATGACAGCTTTGCAGGATAGAGTAATCTTGGTTGTAGTTCTTGCTTTTCATCACTCTAAATATTTCTTGCCACTCCCTTATGGCCTGCAAAGTTTCTTTTGAGAAATCAGCTGACAGTCTTATGGGAACCCCCTTGTAGGTAACTAACTGCTTTTCTCTCGCTGCTTTTAAGATTCTCTCTTTGTCTTGAACCTTTTTCATTTTGATGATGATGTGTCTTGGTGTGGGCCTCTTGGGGTTCATCTTGTTTGGGACTCTCTGTGCTTCCTGGACTTGTATGTCTGTTTCCTTCACCAAGTTAGGGAAGTTTTCTGCCATTATTGTTTCAAATAGGTTTTCGACTTCTTGTTCTCTCTCTTCTCCTTCTGGCACCACCCCCAAGATGCGAATGTTGGCACACTTGAAGTTGTCCCAGAGGGTCCTTACACTATCCTCATTTTTTTGGATTCTGTTTTCTTTTTGCTGTTCTGATTGGGTGTTTTTTTTGCTTTCTTGTATTCCAAATCAATGGTTTGGTTCTTGGCTTTACGTACTCTACTATTGAATCTGTGTAAATTATTCTTTATTTCAGTTAGTGCCTCCTTCATTTCTGACTGTGCCTCCTTTATTTCTGACTGGTCTTTTTTAATGCTCTTGAGGCCGTCACTAAGTTCATTGAGCATCCTTATAAGCAGTTTTTTGAACTCAGCATCTGTTAGGTTGCTTATCTCCATTTCGCTTAGTTCTTTTCCTGGAATTTTGTTCTGCTCTTTCATTTGGGACCTGTTTCTTTGTCTCCTCATTTTGGCTGCCTCTCTGTGTTTGTTTCTGTGTATTACTTAACGAGAGGTATGGGGCTAGTTGAGACCAGATGCTGCTTATTTGAAAGAATTTAGGAAAACCTGAAGCCGGATCCAAGACAGGCCAATCCTATGGTTAAGCAACTGGCAACAGCTTGAGTGGGTCTGAAAGTTGGGTGGGGTGGGGCCACCAGTGTGAGCAGGTTGCTGGAGTCTCAGATCTGGCGGCTGTCTGCCACCCCAGGAAAGGGCTCACCAAAGGAATAAAGACCTCCGACAGTACGTCTGTCCCGGAGAAAGCCCCCTCTCCAGCCCTTGCTCCAATGCCAAACGACTCAGTTCTTCCCCGTATGTCTCTGGCGCCCCTCGAGTTGCCTCCCCTCCAAGCCTAGAGGGAGCAAGTCCGAGTAAGTGTGTGCGCGGGCCCTTTAAGAGGAGTTGCCTGGGGCTCCCGCCACCTCAGCCTCCCTGAGCCTCAGTTCCTGCTGGTTTTTCCAGCCAGAAGTTATGGGGACTTCTCTTCCTGGCACTGGAACCCTGAGCGGGATGCCTGGTGTAGTACGGGGACCCCTCAGTCCTCAGGGAGGACCTTCCCAGCCGAGGTGTCCTCCTGATTTTTATCCGCCACACGTGGGTGTGGGACCAGCCCTCCTGCCTCCGCCCCTCCTACCAGTCTGGATGTGGCTGCTGCTTTAATTCCGTAGTTGTAGGACTTCCATTCAGCTTGATTTCAGGCGGTTTTGAATGATGGTTGTTCTGTAGTTTAGTTGTAACTTTAATGTGGTTGTGGGAGGATGCGATACCACTTTTACCTACGCCGCCATCTTGACCGGAAGTCTGTTTCTTTTTTTCTACAAACATAATTTTAAGCATTCAACAGAAATTCCCCAAATAGTCATTTAATGGCGACATTGCATTCCCAAAGGACTTTTTTTTTTCTTTTTGCCTTTCCCAGCCTTTCCTCTTCCCTCTGAGGTCCACTCCCATCCATCACTCTGTCCTTTAACAGGTCAGAACACATGTGAATTCAATTCAAGACATTATTAGATAATTGCTCTGTGCAAAGCACTGTGCTGGGCTCAGAGAAGATGCATTATTGTACTTTGTGCATTTGTGTTGGCTTCTGTCTTTAAGTGAGTGGGCAGAAAGCCTTCTTGAGTTGGATTTGCCTTTTTCTCCTGGATTGGCCTGTGGATCAGACCTCCCAGAGGGCACATGAAGACACTCTACCCTTGTTCCTAACAGGTTTTCCGGACAGACTTGATCACAGCCATGAAGATCCCAGACTCATACCAGCTCAGCCCGGATGACTACTACATCCTGGCGGATCCGTGGCGGCAGGAATGGGAGAAAGGTGTGCAGGTGCCCGCCGGGGCAGAGGCCATTCCAGAGCCTGTGGTGAGGTGAGTTGGGCAGCCCAGGCTAGGGGCCCAGGCAGGGTGGGAAGGGGAGGCTAGGACCCCGCATGGGACCTATGAGTCCTGGGATTCCTCTCCTAGCCTAGCTTTATTTTCTTAGATTTTTTTAGGCCCGTAAACCACTGAAATACTCCAGAAATACTGGCAGTTTACGTTTGAGGCTAAGCCCTTGGGCTTGGGCTCAGCTATGGAGCCAGACAGCCTAGGTTCAAATGTTCACTCACATTCAGTATGATGTTAGGCCAGAAATGTAATCTTCCTGGGCCTCAGTTTCCTTGTCTGTGAAATGGGAATGATGACAGTATCTACCTCTTACAGTGGTGGAGATGATGTAGGGAAATGCTGCATGAAAGGCACTTGGCACAGGGTCTGGCACACAAGTATTCACTAGAAACTGGCCATGGATTAACTTGATACCGGTCCAGACTGGGTCCCACAAGCACATCTTTTTTTGTTAATCCTCACCTGAGGATATTTTTCCATTGATTTTTTTTTTTTTTTTTCTTTTTGAGTGGGAGCGAGGGGGAGGGAGAGAAACATTGATGTGAGAGAGACACATCAATTGGTTGGCTCCTGCAGGGCCCTGACTGGGGCTCGGGATCGACCCTGCAACCCAGGTACATGCCCTTGACCGGGAACCAAACCCAAGATCCTTCGGTCCACAGGCCGATGCTGTGCTGAGCCAAACCGGCCAGGGCCCACAAGCACATCTTAATCAGGAAAGTCTGCAGACTTTTAGCGGGTCCTTAAAACCAGAGATAAGCTATGCTCTTGGCTTCTTAAACCTTTTTAAGGAGTTCTTAGTGGGAAAGAGCCGTGTGTACACAGCAGATGCTCAGGAAGCAGCTACTGTGACCAGCCTCTTAGGAGGCCCCCTGCCAGGACCGGGCCAGGGCTGAGTCTTCTCAGGGCTTTGTAGCCTTCAGGGCTTGTGGGTTTGAGAGACCCCTGGTGCTCTTGTCAGGAGGTGGCCTCCTGGCCATGGGCCTTGCCTCCAGCAACAGAGTTCAGCCAAGTGCTTCTCTCTGCACCCTGGGAAACCCTCCAAGTCTTGTCTTGGGGCAGAGTGGCCTGCTGTCCTGGCCTCCCCCACTCACCAGCCTGCCAGGGCTGGGCAACTTGTGTTATTGGCAGCCCACTCCTGGTTTTGGCAGCCCCATGGCTTTCACTTAGGCCCATTTGACCAAGCCTGGTGCAAAGATCGAAGCTGTCACCTCCCGTGACATTGGCACTGTTGCTTCCTGGCAGCCACACCCATGACTGGCTCACAGACCCTCCATGCCCTCATGGTGCCAGTATTGTGCTGGGCATGGGCTTATAGAGGCAAAACAGGCTAATCTCTGCTTGGATGCTCAGTCAGGATTGGGTACTGGGTAGGACTCATCCTCCTATGGCTTCTGAGGGCTGAGTGCCTACCAGCACTTGTCTGGGGCCTCTTGAGAATCAGGGAGTGCACATGAGACTTGGGGGGGTGTTATTCTCCACATCCCCTGTCCTGGGCCAAAAACATGGGTCAGGCTCCTAGCCAGTTTCACACCCTTGCGTCTGCAAATCGAAGAACTGTTACTACCTTTTTTGAACCTGTTTTCTCCTCTGTCAGATGAGGCTAAGAGCAGTACCTGCCTGATATTGTGGTGTTGAGGACTGAATGAGAATACATGGGCCACGGGCCCTGGATAATGAGGGGAAGGGGTGGGCCACCAGCTGGGTAGAGAGAGGCGACTCCTGATTAGGCTTGGCCCAGCAGGCTGTCCCCTCTCCCTGATGTCAGTGTCAGGTGGTTCCGGAAACATCCGCTGGCCTGGGTAATTAACCGCAGATGCTTCCACACCAGTAGCTTGGCTTCAGTCTCCTTTATCTGTTGACATCAAGAGGAGAGCACGTGTTCAGACAGCTCTGGCTCTACTAGGTGCATTTCCCACATGTGCATGCTGCTGTGCGCTGACAGGAGCCAGGCTGCTGCCTGCCCGTGCTCTTTGAAGAGGACAGACTGCAGTCAGGGAAGGGTGCACTCCTGGAGAGAGTTCCCTGCCCGTCCTCCCGCCCTCCTCCCACCCGGTCCCTGCACCTTCCTCAGCGCCTCCTGCTGCACAGCCGTCACCTGGGAGCTGGCATGGCAGCCACTACAGTCAGAATTGTTACAGGAACTCTTCCTGAGAATTTGCTGTGCTGAGCCTGTTGTGTACGTCTTCTCATTTTATTATATTAACCCTATAAGGTACATGTTACTGTCCCCATTTTATAGATGAGGAAGTAGGGAAATTCTGGGGAATTCCCTGCATGACTGTCCGGGCCTAGTGGTCTGGGTCAGGAAATCACAGGCCCCCAGTTACCCCTGTGAGGCCCAGAAGAGAGCCTTGTGCCCTGATCACCCTGCATGTTGGCTCTGACTGTCCTCTGCAGCTGCTACCCGGTCCCCTCTGTCTCTCCCTTCTTGCTCAGTCCTCCCGGGCCCTTGGGCAGGTCTGTCCAGCTCATGGTCTAAAATGTATCTGGGTAATGAGAATGTGTCTTGACCCCAGATCATGAATTGAGTGAGGGCTTACACTGCTCCCTCACTGTGTACAAAAGACTCAGCCCAAGGCTAAACCCACCTCTGTTGTCTGTCTGGTCTTTTGGAGTAGAGACCCCTCCCTCTCCCAGTTCCCAGCCCAGCCACCCATCTCCTCCTGGCTGGCTGCAGTTGAGACTCAGGCCTTGGTCTAGGGTCAGTTTGGTCCATGCCTGGTGCCAGAGCTTCCTATAGCCGGAGTCCGAAGAGGCCAAACAGATGAAAGTGAGGGCACAGGGAGCACAGGAAATGCCTTTCTGGTGAGCCCCTTAACCCAGCTTCCCAGGGAAAGGAATGTGATAGGGGCCCCTAGAGCTCGGGCCAGGTGGCAGCTGCCTGAGTGTACAGGTGTGGGTAGTGACGCCAGTAGGTGTGGGCATTCAGGCAAAGTCTATCCCAAACCCCAACCAAGCATATGCTGGGGGCACAAACAAATCAGGGTCATGTTAAAATCAGTCTGTATTTTTAAAAGAATGTGGTAATTCAAATAAGAGCCTCATGAGGAAAGGTGGAATTTTGTAGGACTAAGAGGATGTGTCTTGCTTCTATTTGAAATGACCTTATGGCGGCCTGGGTGAGTCGTGCCATTACCATTGTCATTACCTAAGGCCTTTCTTACTCTGGGCCTTTGTGGGGAAAGGAGGTACCGAGCCCTTTCACTTTCCCCTGTGCCCCCTCAATTGCCTCTGGGCTTCCCTGCTGGCCTGGAGGCCACTCTGCCTCCTGTCTCCTTCATCCTTCCTGCCTCTCTTGCTGACACCTGAGGCATTTCCTGGAGTCCAGGCCCTGCCCTACTCTCCCGTAGTCGGTAGTCGGGTCGTCTGCGTAGTCGGTAGTCGGGTCGTCTGCGCTGAGTCACAGCCCCTGGCAGCCCTGCCTCCAACCCCAGGAGGCCTCTCAGGGCAAGTGAGGGGCCTCTCAGCCTAGCAGGCCGGCCAGATGGAGGTGAGGCTCCAGAGCAATAACCATGGCAACGGTGGGGGGTGGGAAAAGCTGGCATTTTGAACTGATATCAGGAACCAAGGGGCAGCACACCGCTGAACCACAAGGGGAAACTGCCCTCCCAGGGCAAAAAGCAAAACGATATCCAGAAGTCTTAAAATACACACTCACACATTTAGGGCTCATTGTGTGCCAGGCACTGTTCTAAGAGCTTCACAGATATTCACCCATTTCATCCTCACCAACCGTAGAAGGTAAATACTACTCTTACTAGCCCATTGTTTGGATGAGGTCCCTGGGGCACAGAGAAGTTAAGTGGCTTGCCCAGAGGCACACATTAAGTGGGAGAGCAGGGCTTTGAGTCCCCCCTCTGCAGCCAGGGCCCTTCCAAGCTGCCTCAGAAGCAGAGCCCTGGCCTGAGGGAGGGTTGACCTGGAGTGTGATCTGCAGCTGTAGTAGGTGTGTCTCAGTCTCCAGGGGAGGCGATTTCCTTCTAGAGGCGGGCGGAGCACTATAGACAGAGACACTGCTCAGATAACCTTGCGGGGGAGGGGGGAGGACAAGGTGTATGGATAACACTTCTCTGTGATAGGAGACTTTTTTAATGTGGAAAGGGCCACCCCTGGGCTGCAGTAATGTAGCTGGGGAGGACTCCTCTCCACCCCAGTGGAAACCTGGCCTCAGTTCTTCTCAGGGTGTTGGTGAGGAGGGATCAGGGCTTGTGAGGGCATGGGGACAATCGCTGGCCTCTCCCTAGCCTTGAGGAGTGTGCTCTGAAGGACCTGGAGCCCATCTGGCTCTGTTCTACTTACCCCAGAGTGGCTGGCACCGGAAATTGCCTAGGAGAGCACTTGGAACGTCTCTCAGGCTGGGGCAAGGCAGTTCCAGATCCTGGGGCTTTAGCTAAGGCCAGTGCCCCGATGGGAGGGGCGGTAGAGATGTGCTCTGAGCAGAACCGAGGTGTATAGATGAATGTGCAAGGACTGTGGGTCAGCCCCCACTCCCACCCTCCACTCTGTCCCACAGCCCTTTGCTTTGCTGTCCTATTTGCTCATAGTCATCTGAGACGGCAGGGTGGGCAGGCGGGACGAGGCAGCATGAGGAGGGAATGAAAGGAGGTGGGCTCTGCTTGCACCAGTCCCACTTACCTGCACACTTGGTCCTCAGCCGGGCTGGCCAGTTACTGGATGCCCCCAGACCTAGCAAGGGTGGCAGGCTGAGGGTCCTTCCCCTCATGACACCCCCTCTTGATTTCCTAGGATTCTCCCGCCGCTGGAAGGCCCCCCTACCCAGGTGTCCCCTAGCAGCTCCGAACTTGGCGAGGGCTCCCAGCCTGATTGGCCAGGGGGCAGCCGCTATGACCTGGACGAGATTGACGCCTACTGGCTGGAGCTCATCAACTTGGAGCTCAAGGAGATGGGTAGGTGACCTACCAGGCTGAGAATGGGGTCGGGGGCAGGCCAGGCAGGGTTTTCTTCTGAACCCCAGCATCCTCACCCTCAGGAGGACGGTAGCCATGGCTGGGCTTTAGCACTGAATGGATCTGGGTTGACAGTCCTGGCAATATTACTGATTGGAGAAGTTATTTGATGTCTCTGTGCCTCAGTTTCTGTAGCTGTCAGGTGAGGGTGATAATAGCATGTAATTGACAATTCTTGGGAAAAGTGTCAGTAAGCGTGCCTGTCACATGTAGAGTGAGGGAGTACACAAATGAGTCTAGGACGACAAATGTGGCCAGGGTCAGTTGGTATGGACCTCCTGGCTGGAGTCAGCTAACCTGTATCAGGAAGGGCCAGCTGTGTCATATTCAGCCACCTTCACAGCCCCGCTACCCCATACACACAGCTCACGCAGTGGATTCCCCATGGAGCCAGCCACATCCAAGAGATGTTATCTGCATGTACACATAATGTGTGTGGTCACAGGCAGACTGTGTAGAGTCAGACACAACGATAGCCCCAGGGCCGTTGAGATCAGATGGTGCAGCCCATTCAGTTTTCAGACAATGGAGCTGAGGCCCACGACAGGCGACCTGTTTTCCCAGGTCACATCAGATGAATGGAAACCCTCCCATCCATCTGCCCTGAAAAGCCCAGCTTCTCACTCCCTCCCGTTGTCCTCACAGAGAGGCCAGAGCTGGATGAGCTGACACTGGAGCGCGTGCTGGAGGAGCTGGAGACGCTGTGCCACCAGAACATGGCTCGGGCCATTGAGACACAGGAGGGGCTGGGCATTGAGTATGATGAGGACGTCGTCTGTGACGTGTGCCGTTCTCCTGAGGGCGAAGATGGCAACGAGATGGTCTTCTGTGACAAATGCAACGTCTGCGTGCACCAGGTGGCCAGCCCCCCAGTTGCCCTCATCCACACTGTGTCCTCACACACAGCCTGGCGGCCACCTGCCTGGGACTGGTCATCCTGGCTGTAGGAGTGTAGCCTCACTGTGGCACAGGCTCCTAAGAAGGAGGGCAAGGTGGGAGGAAGTGACTGCCATGAGTGTCCTCCGGGGCCTAGGACACCTAGGGCCCTTGGCTCCGCCAGACCATCAGCCAGATTTGAGTAAACGCCCATCAGATGACTTTCTGTCCTCCTGTCAGTCTCCCTCAGACTCCCCACTGAACACCCTGCCCCCGCCTTCCTCCTCTGCTCCTCGCTGTCCTGAACTTACAAAGAGGCAGCCTGAGAGCGAAGCCTGGAGCCAGGCTGCCTGGTTTCAGAGTGTGGCTCTGCCCTTTACAAGCTCTGTGGCTTTGGGCAAGTTTCTTAACTTCTCTTAACCTCTCCCCTCAACTCTACGTGAGAGTCAGTTGTTGTAAGGTCTGAGTTATTTGCTTTAAACAATATCATAAGGGCTCTAAGTATTTGTTGCCATTGTTGATATTATAAACTGGGTCTGGCCTGACCAGGCCCACCCATTTGATCTCGGGCATCCCTGGCCTTGTTTACAGAAGCCGTGACTGGGACACAGTGGACCCGCTCTGGCTCTGACTTTTTTTTTATCCTCACCCGAGGACATTTTCCCTTGTTGTTGTTGTTCAGATAGAGTGGGAGGGAGGGAGAGAAACATTGACATGAAAGGGACACATCGAGTGGTTGCCACCCACACGACCCAACCAGGACAGGGGACAAACTGCAACCGAGGTACGTGCCCTTAGCGGGAACCGAACTCGGGTTTCTCTGGACCACAGGCCGAAGCTCTAACCGCTGAGCCAAACCGGCCAGGGCTTGGCTCTGACTTTGATGCCCCCCCACACACACACTGCTGCAGGAGTGTCTCCTGGGGAGCTCAGAGAGGCTTCACCTGGCTGGTGGTTGGGAGGCAGTACACCCCCATTCATCCATGTCCCTTATACTCAGCAGCTCTTAGGTTCAGTTCATGCACGCTTCTGCGGTACCTCACTGATTAGCACCCCTGTCTAGTGACTGTCCTCCCAGCAGAGGGCAGGCCTGAGCCCTTTCACAGAGGACTGAAATAGTGACGTTTCAGGGTACAACACAATCCCTCAAGAGGTCTCCTTGCCAGAGCCTGGTAGCAGTGTAGCTTTGTAGCTCCGGGCCTTGGGGCGGGGACCATTCACAGCCAACTGCTGACCAGATGCAGATTGACCAGTGTCTCTGACTGTGCCTGCTCTCTTCCCAGGCATGCTACGGGATCCTGAAGGTGCCCACAGGCAGCTGGCTGTGCCGGACGTGTGCCCTGGGTGTCCAGCCAAAGTGCCTGCTCTGCCCCAAGCGAGGAGGAGCCTTGAAACCCACCAGAAGTGGAACCAAGTGGGTGCACGTTAGCTGCGCTCTGTGGATTCCTGAGGTGGGCAGGCGTGGGGGTGGGTGGCCTTGGGGAACAGCTATGGGAAGTCGGTCTTTGTGGAACTCAGAACTTGGGGAGCAGAGTACTGGGAAAAGAAGGTGATGGGCCCACATAAAATGAAACCTTAGGTGTCAAGCCTGGGGAAACGGGGGGAGCAAACCCCAGGGAACTTTGCTGTGGACTTGAGCAGAACTCAGGGGTTGGTTTCCATGGGAAGATGGGATCACGGGCTACTGGGGGTCCAGGGGTAGGTCTGAGCTGCAGGAAAGGCAGGCAGCTGACTAGGGGGGAAAGCAGGTGGAGGGTTCACTCTCATCCAGGCAGTGGTTCCAACCAAAGTCAAACTGCCTTTTCAAAACAAAAGTAAGCCAACTGGCCTAAAGGAAATCAGGTGCCAAGCCTAATTAAAAGTGGGATGGGGGCTGCCGCTGTGGCTGTGGTAGATAGGAGGGGTGGGCCAGGGCCTGAGTCTAGGTGGGGAGGGACCATGGAATGTAGACTGGTCCACAGTGAGGTATCAGGCCCTGGCCCCCAGAGGCATCGCATTTTATTTGAAATGGGAAATGCTGAAATCCACTGGCATTTTAGCCCTGGCCCTGCTGTGTGCCATGACCCTGCGTACGGCCTCACTCCAGTGTTGCCTGCGCCTGAAAGCAAGCCAGCCGGCCCTGTCAGCAGGAGGCCCTCACCTTCCTGGGCCCCCGGTCTGAAGTTCCCTGCTGGGACCCACGTTGCAGGCTTCTGGGATGATCATGGTTGTGTGAGCAGTGGTCACTGGGCTGAACACAGCAGGGACAGAGAGAGCTGACAAGGACTCCACTATGGATCCCTTTGATTTAGGACCTCTGGGCAGGGGCCCTTTGTCCATCCTTAAGCATGGGCAGTGGCGAGGGGTGGGCTGTGCCCAGATGTGGACATGGGTGTAGGCCTGTCCCCATAGGAGAGACTAGCCAGAGGTGGGGAACCTTTTTCCTGCCAGGGACCATTTGGATATTTATAACATCATTCGTGGGTCATACAAAATTATCAACTTAAAAACTCACCTGCTGCCCTGGCAGGTATGGCTCGGCAGTGAGAGTGTCGGCCCGCAGACCAAAGACTCACGGGTTCGATTCCGGTTAAGGGCACGTACCTCAGTTGTGGTTCATCCTTGGCCCTGATTAGGGTCGTGCGGGAGGCAACCAGTCAATGTGGCTGTCACGTCGATGTTTCTCTCTCTCTCTCCCTCTTGGTCTCTCTCCCTCCCTCCCACTCTATCTGAGATAAATGGAAAAATATCCTTGGGTGAGGATTAAAGAAAAAATTAGCCTGCTATATTTGATTAGGTTAATTTGGTGAGGCTGCGATGTTAGCTGATACTGATTTCAAGGGCCATACGTTCCCCACCCCTGAAACAAAGACACATCCCCATTGGCCAGGAAAGCCCTGGAGGCCTCTAAGAAGAGATGCTACCCTGAGACCATTACTTGCTGCCCAGAAAAATAAATAAAATAAATACAAGTTATTATAGTAACTCTGAAGATGCTATTGACAAAGGCCTGAGGTACAGAAGAGAGGGAACCATACATGGACTTATCTGGTATCTCTTTCTTTCTCTCTGAAGCATCTGTTTCAAGGGCTATGCAGTCATAGGCACACACTCAGTTACACTACTGTGCACGGTCTCACACAGTCACAAACAATTTGTCGCAGGTGAGCCCATACCCAGTGGTCAGCTTGGGACAATCAGGAAGGACTTGGGATTCAGGGGCTCTCCCACTGCCCTGTCTGCCACCCACTTGGTTTCAGGAGACAACCCCCCCACTTGGGGATCCTTGGGCAGGCTGAGGACAGGAGGCCTGACACATCTCCCTGTGTCCTGCCCAGGTCAGCATCGGCTGCCCCGAGAAGATGGAGCCCATCACCAAGATCTCACATATCCCAGCCAGCCGCTGGGCTCTGTCCTGCAGCCTGTGCAAGGAGTGCACGGGCACCTGCATCCAGGTACGTGGCCTCGTCACCTCACTGCTACCTGGGAGCCGGGCAGGAGCTGGGTGTTGCCCCACCCCCATGGTACTGCAGACAGAGCCACTGATGGGCCAAGGAAGCCTGGAACTGGGACCAGTTAGAACCCCAACTAGGGGGCATTTCTCCATCACATTTCCTCTAGACACAGGGTACAGGCCTGGAGAGCCAAGGCTCACCATCCCATTGCAGTGCGGACGCCTTTGACTTACTAAGCTCAAGACCAAGTGTCTTTGTGCTTAATAAAAACATTGACCTAACTTTTGGCATCAAACATGACATGTGGCAAGGGTAGTATTCAAACTTAGGCTCTTGCAGCACAGGACAGGGCTGCACTAGCCCGTTGACAGCAGTGGTTCCCAGACCCTAGTTTATTAACCCCCCCCCCCCCACCCCGGTCCTGGTTCAGTAGATCTGGGGCTGAGAGTTTTCATTTAGAGCAAGTTCCCAGGTGCTGCTGCCGCTGCCAATCTGTAGGCTGGGAGGAAGGGGGTGTCCTTTCTCTCCCTCATCTCTCCAGGAACAGTTGTCATTGCAAACACTAGCTGTGCCTTTACCCATTTGTAAGGCTTTCAGAATGACTTGTGAGTGCCCCGGACATGGTCACTAGTAGTTGGGTGGGTTACTGCTGAGACAGTTATCAGCTGCCCGTCGTCCAAGGCTGGGAGGGAGGCGCAGGCCCTGGGTTGGCCCTAGCTGCCTGGGCATGAGGAGAAAGAAGGGGTCCAAGTCCAGCTCCTCTTCCCAGAGAACAAAGGAGGGGCATAGCTCCCCATCTTAGATAATGTTGCAGGAGCAGAGGAGGCAGTAACCCATTGCCAGTCTCCTTTGATGCCTCTGATTCCAAAGTCATTTTCCCCACACAGGCGTGCAGCTTGCCCCTGGAGGGGTTGTCCAGTCATTTGCTTGTTGTCTTCCCCAGGGTATAAGGTGTTGAACCCTTTTTCCTTTTCATCACCCCCTTCCCACCTGCCATAGCACCCTCCATACCCTGCAGGATGTTAGGATCCTGTGCCATTTTATTTAGGGTCTCACCAGCATTCTTTGTTCTCAGAACCCTGGGGGATGCCCCTGTCCTTACCTCCCATCAGGCCTCCCTTCATGCCTGACAGCGCCCTTCCTGTTCCTCCAGTGTTCCATGCCTTCCTGCATCACTGCGTTCCATGTCACATGCGCCTTTGACCACGGCCTAGAAATGCGGACTATATTAGCAGACAACGATGAAGTCAAGTTCAAGTCATTCTGCCAGGAGCACAGTGATGGGGGCCCGAGGGCTGAGCCCACATCTGAGCCGGTGGAGCCCAGCCCAGCTGGTGAGGACCTGGAGAAGGTGACCCTGCGCAAGCAGCGGCTGCAGCAGCTGGAGGAAGACTTCTATGAGCTGGTGGAGCCAGCCGAGGTGGCCGAGCGCCTGGATCTGGCCGAAGCACTGGTCGATTTTATTTACCAGTACTGGAAGCTGAAGAGGAAAGCCAATGCCAACCAGCCGCTGATGACCCCCAAGACGGACGAGGTGGACAACTTGGCGCAGCAGGAGCAGGATGTCCTCTACCGCCGCCTGAAGCTCTTCACACACCTGCGGCAGGACTTGGAGAGGGTGAGTGCTCCTGTCCCCTGCCCGGGAGGCCTTCGCCCACCCCCACCCCGCCCTCTGCTGTGGAGCAGCTGTGGCTCACCAGGACCCCACTGTGAGCTCTGTCTGAGGGGCTCAGGCCTACAGGTCTCAGGCCTACAGGTCTCAGACAGGGTGGAGGTTACTGACTTTGCAGAACAGGGAAGGATCAAACTCTTGGGTCTAAGTTCTTCTTGTGTCGGCCCTTTCCAAGGCCTGGTGAAGGGTGGGGGCCCTGCCAGGGTCATGAGGCTAGGAGATACCAGAGCTGGGGAAGGACCTAGGCTTCCAGCTCCTTGTGGCTTCCGGCCCCTTTCTGTGGCCTCTGTGGGCCCTGCCTGGTCCCAGCACAAGCTCCTGCTTGGAGTCAGAGGCAGGGGAGGAACTGGGAATGATGAGTGAGTTGAATCAACCCAACAAGTATGTGCTAGGCCGGGGCAGGAAAGGCGGCACATACGGCTTCCGGCTTCCAGGGGTGCTGGACAGAGGAAACGGTGTGAGCGGAGGGGTGAAGGTGGGAGGGGTGGGCCTGACGCTGCAGCAGCCTATGTAGTGGGAAAGGGTGGGGCTGGGTGGGTGGACCAAAGTGGTCAGGAAGCTGCAGACAAATTTTAAGCAGGGACTGTCCTGCTGTGACTGCCCTTCCAAACACTCACCCTGGAGGGTCTGGGTGGGTTGGCCAGAATGCCCAGCTGCGAGCTGAGAGACTGTGGTCTTGGCTTGGTCCAGAGTGGCTGGCGGCTTTGAAGGTTGAGTAAGATGAGGAAGAGATGGTTTGGAGCTGAGCTCTGGAGGTTAGGGAGCAGCAAGAGTTGCTTTTCTAGAGCACGGAGGCCCCTAAAACCTCTAATCCCTCCTGCTCCCCCCAGAAAGAAGGTGAGAGGGTCCTGCCTTCTGTGGCATATGCCCTTGAACTTGGCTTTCCTGGCACGCCTCCCCTGCCACCTCCAGCCTGACTTGGGGGCAAACCAAAAAGGAAACAGGATGTTCTGGTCCCTGGTTCAGTCCTCTGAACCCCAGGTGCTGGTCCAGCCTCTCTTCTGGGGACATTCAGTTCTAGGGTTCCAGAGTGTGTGGGATCATGCCACTGTCCTCCGTAGGTACAGACACACTGCCACCTTTCCCCAGGCCGTTAGGAAATCACCCTGGGTGGAATTGTCCAGGGGGCGTTGTACCACCTGAATCCGTGGCATTTCCTTTTGTATGGCTCAGCTGGCAAGTCTGTAAAATGGGAAGAGCAACTAGGCAGGCACCATGCTGTGGGGGGAGGGGGAGGAGGTACGGCAGAGACTGAAACTGGACTCAATTTCTCCACCTCCCTTCATCCCACTCACCTGCCCTTCTGCGTGGTCAAGGAGAAATGACCCTGTTGGCCTTGGAGGGAGCTCACTTGTCGGCCAGTCTGTCACCAGGTCAGAAGGAAGAGGTGTGCAGAGGTTGGTACCAAATGTCCAGCCAGGGCAGAGGGCAAGGCCACCCACATTGCAGTCACCATTCCCTCGGCAGCCTGGCCTCCCTCTGGTGGCAGGCCATCAGGCAGAAACCCTTCAGAGCTGCCCGAACTCGTTCCACCCCCAGGTCTCCAGTGCCAACACCCTACTTTTACTCCTGGTGTTCGTCAGCTCTGACCTCCCTGGGGTGCGGGTCAGCCCTGTGTCTGGCCCTGGCTGGGCTGTGTGGGGAGACCAGGGAGTGGGCTCCCTGATTTAATCCTCACCCTAGAAAAAGGTGAGAAGTGGATACTCTCGGCCCCAAGGAGCAGGCGAGGAAGCTGGGGCTCAGAGAAGTGAAGTGACAGGAAGCCTCAGAGGACGTGTGTGTTCTAAGGGTTGGATTTAGACCCAAATCTCGGAGATATTTGTCAGGAAGCTGTTGGCTTATTCTCTATTCTGTACATATCCTGGGCAAAAGCATGCTTTAATCAATCCCTGAACCTCCCCACCCCCCTATTAGCTAGTGCAGGTGTGCCCAGGGTCAAGGTTGCCAAGGGCTAGGATGCCAGCGAACCTGCTGAGGCTGGCTCTGGGGAAACCAGAGCTGCCAACAGATCCCTGTGGTCGGGGGACACAGGCCTGCAGTCAGGTGTGAGCGGGCTCACTCTTTCTCCACAAGAGAAAGCAGGCCCGGCTTTAATCTGTGCGGCTTCTTAGGGCTCAGGAGGCCCTGTCAGAATGCTACTTCTCCAGTAGCCACTGAGCTGGGCTAGTGACACCAGCTGGGAGCAAAGTGAGGGTGTGCACAGCCCTGTGCCCGTCTGCCCGCTCCAGGGCCAGCCTCAGGGCCTTTCACGGCCACGTGTGAGTGACTTGAGTAAGTGAATAGAGCCAAGAACTGTGCCACAGGGGAGGTTTCTGCAAAGATCCATGGCTGTTGGTGGCCTGGCCAGCAGGCCCAGTCTCTGACCATGGCCCAGAGCTGACAGCTGGGAGAGCCCAGACTGTGACTGGGCACCAGGCCAGCTAGGACTGGACCCCCTGGGAGATGCAGTGGGAGTTGAGATTCAGACCTTGAGTAGCCAGGGTTTCCTCCATCCAGTCCAGCACTTCCCAGCTCTGTGCCTTCTAAATTATCATTTCTCCACTTCTCTGAGTTTCCGTTTCCTTGTCTGTAGAATGGGAATAAGGATCGAACTAAACTTGGGGTCACAGGTAAGATGGGGGACAGAGCTTAGCACAGTGCCCTCCGTTATTAGTGGTGGTGATCATGGCTTGTAGAAGGGTGGCCGGCTCAGAAGGTGGGCTCCATGGAGAATCAAAAGCCCAGTGCCTGGGGTCACAGGGCATCCTCCCCAGTTGATTTGCCCCTAAGGCCAGGTGGGAGTTTTGCTCAGGGAAGCAAGAGCCGGGGCCATGCTGCCGCCACCAAGAAATCCCATTTATGGTCAGACTGAAAGAGGTGCTTTTCTAACATTTTAGTCATAGGCCTCGGCCCTGGTAGGCATCTCGGAAGGCGTGGCCACTGCAGCCTCCCAGAGTTATTCACAGCTGATAAAAAATCGCAGCACTGACCGGCAGCGAGTGGCAATGACGAGCGGGCTGGTGTCCCCTAGCAACCGCGCAGGCAGTTCAGGCTGTGCAGGGCTTTGCTGCCTGTGGCCCTGGATCTGGTTACCAGGGGTTTATTCAAGAGCCTGATCTGGCCCGAGTGGGACTCAGTGGGCAGGGGCAGCTCTCAGACACCCCCCCCCCCGCCCCAGCCGAGGACAGCAGTGTAGGAACTCCCCAGGCCCCGGTTCCGATAGCTCTCCCAAGGGAGGAACATCCTGCACCTGCTTCATTTTCATTGGTCACTCCCCATTCACTGTGTCCTCAGCGCCTGGGCTGCAGTCTGCTGGCCTCCCATCGGAGCAGCCGTGGCCTGGGCAGCCTTGGCTTCCAGCTCTCTGGCTCCTCAATCTCTGGGACTTTCCAGTCCATTAGTGCCCCTGTCCCACTGAAACCCTGTCACCACCTCCGAATCCCACCATCCCCTAGTCCCCAAATCCCCACATTTCCCCTTAACCACAGGTTCTTGTTGTCCCTGCTCAGTTGCCTCCCAGGCTCTCTACCCTTCACTGTCCCTTGTTTTCTTTATTGGCTGCTCGAGCCCCTGCCCTGTATGAAGGCCATACCCTTGGCAGAGCCTCCCCCAGTAGGAGCCACTCTGCCCCCCGGGACCTATCCTGTAGCAGTGAGGTGCCTTCCCCCCAGCCTTGGCAGGACCCAAGCCAGCAACATTCTGGGCTCCCCGACCCATTACCTGTCTCCATCCCTACCACACCTCGCTCAGGGCTCCCCAAGTATTAGCAGACAACCTCACCTCCTGTTCCTCAGACCAGAACCCTCCAACTTAGTGCCAGGAGCTCCCTCTGTGCCCATTCGCTGGCTTTCCTCCTGTCTCCTCCTATCCCTCCCACCCCAAGGGGCCCTTTCCAGCCCCCACCCTGCAGCGCAGAGTCTCTTTCCCTCCTCCCCCTGCGTCTCCAGGACTCCACCAGCATTTGAATCTATTTTACCTTACCCCATTTGAAAGCAAATGCTTCCTCCCCGTCTCCCCCTAGTCGTGGGTTTCTTCGTTCTCATTCCCATCTCTCTTTTCCCATCATGCTTCACTGCTCTTACTTCCTTGCTTCCCACTCTGGCCAGACTTCTGCCACCACCACATTGCAGAACCTTCCACCAGGGCCAACAGCCTGCATCTCCCTGGGTCCAGTAGCCACTTCTCCATTCTTGTCCCCAGGCCCTCTCAGCAGTGGCTGCCTGTCAGTCACGCTCAAATAACTTTTCCTGTTGATGTTCTGCCCGATCCCCCCATAATACCCCAGTTCTAGTTCTCTCTCCCTCCCTGAGTTCTCCTTGGTCTAAAGAGTATTTGCCACACTCAGCCTGACCTCCCATTGCTGCAGCAGCTCCACAGCTTTGCTCCCCGTCAGGAGAACAGCCTCATCCTACACCTCCCTCCCGGGCTCCAGCATCTCATGCCCAGCATGCTCACAGGGGAGGCCTGCCCTCCCTCGACCTCCTCTCCACAAATGCCCCCAGCTCCGGTCCGTTCTAGCTTGCTAACTGGCTGAGTGTCCTCTTGGCCCTGCCTTTCTCCTCAGCCCACATCCAGGTTCTCTGCAAAACTTGCTGATATCAGCACGTCATCAACATGAAGAACCTGCTTTTGTTATCAGTCTCTGCCCTAGTTTTGGAGGACTTTCATACTTGATTCTTTTTTTAAAGAGAATGTTTTATGCCTTGGCTGGTTTGGCTCAGTGGATAGAGCATCAGCCCATGGACCAAAGATTCGCGGGTTCGATTCTGGCCAAGGGCATGTACCTCAGTTGCAGTTTGTCCCCAGCCCTGGTCGGGGTCGTGCAGGAGGCAACCAGTCGATGTGTCTCTCTCAACGTCAATGTTTCTCTCTCTTTCCCCCTCCCACTCTATCTGAAGATAAATGGAAAAAATATCCTTGGGCCCTGGCCGGTTTGGCTCAGCGGTTAGAGCGTCGGCCTGTGGTCCAGAGAGACCCGGGTTCAGTTCCCGCTGATAAGAGCATGTACCTCGGTTGCAATTTGTCCCCAGCCCTGGCTGTGTTGTGCGGGTGGCAACCACTCGATGTGTCCCTTTCACATCAGTGTTTCTCTCTCTCTCTCTCTCTCCCTCCCTCCCACTCTATCTGAACAAAAAAGGAAAAATGTCCTCGGGTGAGGATAACTAAATAAATAAAGAGAATGTTTTATCTTTATAATAAGAAAAAATAATAGTGTAAGGAACCTGATAATCTGGGTGACCTTCTAAGGTAGTATCTATACCTTGTCCTCCAAAGCCACCACGGAAGAGGAATTCTACAGCATTCAGTCACAGGTGGCTATGTTACCGAGAGTCTTGGGAGAAATTAGAGAAGTAGTTGATGATTCCAGGGTGAAGTAGTGGACAGGGAAGGCCTCTGTGAGCAACGTCTGTGCCAGGACCTGAAGGATGAGGTCAAGCTTAGGAGGAGAAGAGTGAAGAGCATTTCAGGCCAAGAGTTGAATATATACCAAGGCTGAAGTGGGCTGGACGCGGGAGGAACGTGACTAGAGGGTGGTGCGGTCCAGGAGGACCGCTGGGACATGGGGTGAGTGAGGGGCAGACTGAACAGAGCTCTGGGCTGTGGCTCTGGGCTGTTTTCACTATGATGGGGGGAAGCTGTATTAGTTTCCTGGGGCTACTATAGCAAAGTACTGCAAGCTCTGTGGTTTTAAACAGCAGAAACGTGTTTTCTCATAGTTCTAGATACCAGAAGTCACCAAGGTTGATTCCTTCCGGAGGCTGAGAGAGAATCTGTCCCGTGTCTCTCTCCTAGCTTCTGGCGGTTGCCAGCAACCTGGGCATCCCTTGACCCGTGACTCCTTTCTGCCCCTGTTGTCATGTGGCATTTTCCCTGGATGTGTCACCATCCTTTCATAAGGACACTAGTCAGTGGATTTAGAGCTCATTAATCCAGTATGACCTCATCTTAACTACTTACATCTGAGGTTCCAGATGGACGTACACTTGGGCAGGGGCCACGCTTCAACCCCATACAGACGCCATTGGAGGATTAACATTTTAAGAAGATTGCTCTGGGATAGCAGAGGGATCCGAATGGCTGGTTGTCCAGCTGAAGATGATGGGGGTGACTAAGAGGTGAGGGAGCTGATGGCAAGGAATGGCATTCCCGGGAAGGACTGATGGATCGGCTGTGGGAGCAGACGAGGGGGAGCTGGGTCGTTAAGGATCACTCTGGGGTCTCAGCATGTACACGCCCCCATCAAAATCTCTGCATAGCTCCACTTGGCCTGCCTCAGCCAGGCCTCGAGGCCTCACTCTGCCTCTCCCCTGCCTGACCTTGCTCTGGATTCCTTGTCCCCAGCCTGTGATCAGCTCCTTTCCGGCCTTGCTGCTCATTTCTCCAGGAGGCCTTCCTCATCACCTCCAAGTCTGGTTCAGGGCTGCCTGGTCCTGTCAGTACTTGGTCAGCATCTATCTGCCCAACTGGCGGCGAGTCCTGAGAAGAAAGGGACCCCGATGGCATTGCTCACTGCTGAGCCCAGGGCCCCACACAGCAACAGCTCACAGAGCCACAGCCTGTGTTCAGGATTGTGTGGGAGGAGGTTGGCTGGTGGGAGGTCCTGAGGAAGTCAGACAGTGCCAGTGTGCCAGAGCAAGGGTGCTCAGCTGGGCCATGGTTGCCCCCTTTGGGAGATGCCAGCCACTAGGGTGGCCTGGTGCTCACGGTCTACCTGTGCGCACACGCTGAGAGTGTCCACAGAGCCAGGACTGGAGCCGGCGTCTGGGATCCGTCACGACTAGGCAGGAAGGAGATGAGGACGCTCGTGCCTACAGAGGTCTGATCACAGCCACCCCCAGGCCAGGAGGAATGGTGCTCGTGACAACAGGCCCGGGGCTCTGAAGCCCAGAGTGCACTCCTGGGCATCTGACGGATGTGAAGCCGGAACTCGCCCCGAAGACGGAACCCAACTGGAAACAGAGTATTAGTTTCAGCTGGAAGGACCCTGGTGGGACCCAGGATTTCAGGTCAGCAGCTCCTGACCAGCTGGCCCTGCTGCTGGAGGTTCTGAACTAAACTGGAGGTGACACAAGAATAAAGAAGTGTTCTGAGGGAGGAGGCCTGGTCTCGGCCCAGAGAGCAACCAATGAGGGTGGACACACGAGAAAGTTGCCACGTGGACAGAAGGCAGCATGGCCCGTCCTTCGGTGCTTCCAGAGGAGCTGCAGGGGTGTCTGTCTCCCAGATCCTAAGGGGCTTCCTAGCTGGGCTCAGGGAATTGGAGGCCCCTGCCCTTCCCTGTGAGGAGTTCTGTCTCTGGCTGAGCCCACGTGGCCATGCGGACATGGGAGCCTTGGCCAGTGCAGGTGTGGGCCGGGCCCAGGTCCCAGAGCAGCAGGTAGACCCAAGTGGGTTGAGGACTGCCTGTCTGCTCGAAGCTGTTGTGCTGGAGTTCCCCCAGGAGTTCTCGCTTTCGTGTCCCAGGATAGGAGGTGGTTTTTGCCATGGCTGAAGAGTTTCTTTGATGGGAAAGAGACCTTGGACAGGAGGCAGAGGGATGGGTGGACTTGGTGACCTCATGAGGCCCCGACGAGCTTGGTGCGCTGTGTGTATAGGGGAAGGAGTCGCGTTAGAAGGGCCTTGAGCAGCAGCGTGGCTGACGTGGCCAGGAAGGCAGACACCAGCCTGAGCTAACCTGATGCTCGCTCTGGCTCAGCGGGGTCCACAGGGTCAAGGCTGTGCTTGGCCTCAGGTTTTGGATCAGAGAATTGTGGCTGAGGCCTGAGGACACTCAGGGTCTGGGAGTTGATTCCCAGATGTCCTGGGCACATTAGGCAGTGGTGGTCCCCAGAGCTGGAAGGTCGGGGGTGGTCACCCTTGAGTAAGGTGGAAAAATCTTTCTTGTGTTTCCTCAGGTTAGAAATCTGTGCTACATGGTGACAAGGCGCGAGAGAACGAAACACGCCATCTGCAAACTCCAGGAGCAGATATTCCACCTGCAGATGAAACTTATTGAACAGGATCTGTGCCGAGGTAGGCGCCTTCCCTGCCCGACGCCGGCCACCTCTGTGCACATGCCAAAGAGCTGGTCCCAAGGAGGGTATCTGTGGGGCCTGGTTTGGGGACATGTGCATGGGGTCCGGGGCCACTGGCCCCCACCCCTACCCTCCATCATTCAAGAAGGGGATCTCCCGAGGGTCCCAAGAATGTATTGTTAAGCATGGAGCCACAGATTAGAATGTGGGCATCAGGCCTGCCCTCAGAGAGCTTTCTAGTTCACTGGAGACATCCAGGTAGTACCAGGTCCAGGAGAAAATTGGTTCAGGAGTAAATTGCATGTGTGAACCAGAGGTCCTGGTGGCTCTACGCTGGCAGGATGGGCTGGAAGCTGGCGAGCTTCCCTGACCCGAGTGCCTGCATGTTGATCCCGAAGAAAACGGCTGCCCCAGTGATGGAAGAGACTGCACACCTTCTGTCTGACCTCATGCAGGATTCAGGTGGGAGCCTGTCTGCTTCTTCTGCATCACATACGTTTCACAGATCTGGAAACCAAAGGCCAAAGGAACTCAGACATCGCTTTTATCTGTTGATTGTGTGGATATTGCCAGACACAGGGCCCTTCTGGGAGTGTTCACATGTTAAGGAAGGCAGCACTTGACCCAGAAAACGGTGCTCTCATGTTGAATTACATACAGCAGAAATAGCTGGGTGGAGAAAGACTTTGAGCCAGGGGCTGTCACTGCTAGTTCAGCCCCAGGGTCAGGCTGGGCCTGGAGAGGACAGCGAAGAGAGCTGCCAGGCCACCACCGGAGCAGATGATGAGGACCTGGCTCTGCCCACTCCTGCCTGAAAGCCAAGCTGCCTCATCTGCACTTTGGGTTCACTACCCACTCTGGCCCAAAACACCAGGAATGCCAAGTAAAGATGGTGGGTCACAGCCTTGCAGAGCTCAGCTCACCATGCACCCCCAAGACTGTGGCGGCTTCCGGCGTTTGGCCAGGCTCCCTCATGTGATTGGTTCAGTGAACACTAACCGAGCATGGACAGGATGCCAGGCCCTGTGCTGGGCACTGCAGGGCACACTGCTGCAGACGGAATGGACAAGGCTCTGCCCTTGTGGAGCTCGCCACCTGGAAAAATAAAGGAAGTGGTGCCCACGGCCTGCAGGGCGCCGGTGCAGGGCAGGAGGTGTGAGGGATGGCTTCATAGCGGCAGTGATTCTGGAGCAGCGTCTCAGGCTTCCGAGGACCTCGCTGTGGCCACACATCCAGCTGCAGGAGACACTTGCAATGGAGGCAGCAGAGTGGCAGGCAGGCAGCGCCCTGGACAGGATTCCAGAAACGTGTTCAAGAGTCGGGGCATCTGCAGCTCCTATTCCCGAGTGGCCATAACAGGCAGCCCTTTGTTCAGGGCAGAAGACTGGTTTGCCTCTGCCCACAGCTGACACCCTTGGTGTTGTGCGCTTAGCCCCCGGGGTGGGACATGGGCTACAGGCAAATTGCCAAGGACCGTCTGGCCAGAGGGCTTGAGAAGGCTTCCCGGTAGCAGTGGTATTTAGGCTGTGAGTTGAACCAGGTGAAGGACAGGACAAGGAAAGCATTTTTGGAGACCTAGGCCAGAGCTTGTCATGTTAGAAAAACTGGAAGGAGGCTGGCATAGGTGCATTTAATTAGAGCAGAAGGAAGATGTCTAAAGTGAGGCTGAGGGGTTGCCAAGGTCAGCCGTGCACGGTCTTGTGACCCTCAGAAGGAGCTCAGACTATGCTGAAGACAGCAGGGGCCTCAGAAGCCTCCCTCCAAAGTATCTGGGCACTGGACGCATGTTATAGATGTGGAGACTGTGGCCCAGTGTGAGACTGCACAGGGAATCAACAGCAGAACTGGGAAGATTACAGAGCTGGGACCACACCCCCCAACACTCTTAAAACCTGACTCAGAAACTCCTCTGGCCTGCAGCTGAGAAGCTAGGAGAACATTCCTGGCAGCCGGGCCTCCCACTCCATATGTCCCTCCCTGCTCCAGTGTTCTCTGTGGCTCCCTAGATCTGTGTGGTGATGGACTGAAGGGATATGAAGGCTGTGTGTATACCCAGGTCTCCCATCTGCTATCTGACCTCAAAAGCAGACCAGGAGATCAAGACAGAAGACTTGCTCAAGGGGACTGACCAATGTGAGGACTATAACCAAAACTTCTTGACTCCTCTGACAGTGTTCTGTCCACCTTCACGACCAGCTCCTTGGCCTGGCATTCAAGTCCCTGCCCTGTCCACTCACCTCCAGTCAGCCCTCCATCACTAGGACTCCCAGCATCTGTAGGCCTGTGGATCATGCTGTAGTCCAGATCCTGCAAGGTGGTCCTCCAGCCCCTCCGTGGCCCTGTGCTCTCCTCAAAGCCCTGCCAGAGCAGCAGTGGGCAGTTAACCGCACACTCTCCCACCCCACTTGTCCCTTGACTCACGGGAGCCCCAGTTATCCCAAGCCCCAAAGGCTGTGAGCCTGGGGTACAGCGGCAGGACAAGATGACCTGGGTGGGGAGGCACCAGGTGAGGGAAGACTCCTGGAGCGACATGCAGTGATCTTGGTTCTGGCTGAGGTGGTTTGGGATGACCACCCACTCTCTCTCTCTCTCTGGTGCAGAGCGGTCTGGGAGGAGAGCAAAGGGCAAGAAGAGCGACCCAAAAAAGAAAGGCTGCGAGGGCCCAAAGGGCAGCCCCGAGAAGAAGGAGAAAATGAAGACAGGGCCTGACTCAGTCCTGGGGCAGCTGGGTAAGTGGCCAGGCTCACACCATCACTCTGCTTGCACCCCCCACATGAGGTTAGCAGGGACCATCAGCACCACCCCTGCTCAGAGTGGGAGTCCAAAGGGGTAACCAGGCCCTTTTTGCCCAGGCACTCATACCTCCCGGCCACAAAGAAGACTAGGGTGTCAGAGCCCCGTTGCCATCCCCAGAAATTCCCCTTTTGTAGACCTGGAGCCTGTGCCCAGTAGCTCAGGAACTGACTGCTCCTTCCACTGGCCAGAATCCTGGATGGTAATTGCTCTGGGCCCTGAAGGGACCTCTAGGCCACCTGGGCCCTTTTAGGAGCCCAGCCCCATGCTTGGAGGTAAGGGCCCCAGATTTGCCATCCTTGTTCCACTCTGCCAGAATTCGTACGAATGGGTCCTCTCTTCAGTGCCAGCAAACCTTCGTGAGGCCACCCAGAGACCCAAAGCAGTGGCCGAAGGCACTGGCCCAGCCCTTCTTCACCGTCACAGACCTCCTTGCGGCTGCGCCCTTAAGCCAAGCAGCCTTTCCGGGGACTTCAGCATGCTTCCCCTAGAGTACTTCTCAGGGTCATGGTAGAGTCTCCTTCCAGACCTCACTTCTAGCACAGAAGCCCCAGGTCACCTTTTATTTCCATCAGTCTCAAGAAGGGAACAGCATGGGTGTCTAATGGGAGATTAGTCTCACTAGCTGTCCTGAGACCTCAGTAAAGGAGACATGGCCCATAGCTAGAGCAGGTCTTGACATCCAAGAGGGACCTTATACCCTGATACATTACCACCCTATTGATGCCTGACACCCTTATCCAAGGTCCTTGTTTTGGAAGCTCTGGGAGGCAGTGTGCATAGGAATTCAGCACCCCCTGGTGGCCAGAGGGCACTTTTCTCCATTCCTCCACCCTCTGCACCCATAGGCCTCATGGGTGTGCACCTGTGCAATGTCAGAGACCCTTGCTTAGTTTAATGTTCTAATGTGGGCACCTTGAAATTCTGAACAATTTTTGCACAGGGAGCGTGCATGGCATGCTGAAGAGGGTCAGAGAGGGATTCCAGAACGAGGGTGGGACTTACTAGCTGCCATCTCACCTTTCCCTCTCCTCTCCCAGGCCTGTCTACTTCATTCCCCATCGATGGCACCTTCTTCAACAGCTGGCTAGCTCAGTCAGTGCAGATCACAGCAGAGAACATGGCCATGAGTGAGTGGTCACTGAATAACGGGCACCGTGAGGACCCTGCTCCGGGGCTGCTGTCAGAAGAGCTGCTGCAAGATGAGGAGACGCTGCTAAGCTTCATGCGGGACCCCTCGCTGCGACCCGGTGACCCTGCCAGGAAGGCCCGTGGCCGCACCACCCGCCTACCTGCCAAGAAGAAACCGCCACAGGATGGGCCTGGTTCACGGACGACTCCGGACAAACCCCCCAAGAAGCTCTGGGGCCAGGATGCAGGTGGTGGCAAGGGGAGTCAAGGTCAAGGACCGCCTGCCAGGAAACCACCACGGCGAACGCCTTCTCACTTGCCGTCCAGTCCTACAGCTGGGGACTGTCCCATCCCAGCATCCCCCAAGATCCCCCCACCGCTGGTCCCTGACACCCCCGACGAGGCAGCCCCAATGGCTGCTGACTCGAATGTCCAAGTGCCTGGCCCAACAGCAAGCCCCAAGCCCTCAGGTCGGCTGCGGCCATCCCGCGAGAGCAAGGGAACCCGGAGGTCATCAGGTGCCAGGCCTGATGCCGGGACAGGACCTCCTTCTGCTGTGGCCGAGAGGCCAAAGGTCAGCCCACACTTTAACCCTGAGACTGATGGCTTCTTCTCTGACGGGGAGATGAGCGACTCAGACATGAAGGCCAAGGACAGCGGGGTGCAGCGGGGTCCCCGGGAAGCAGGGGCTGAGGAGGTGGTCCGAATGGGGGTTTTGGCCTCCTAAGTCACCCTTCCCCTGTCTCAGGCCCTGCCCTAGTCCTCCCACGAGGCCTCAGCCCAGTCACAACTGCCATTTCCAATCTGCTGAGTGTTCCAGACCCTCAAGGCTGCCACTCTGTTGCGGTTTTATTTTTAATATAGAGAGAGTTTCAAATTCCACACTGTTGTCTTTCCTCTGTGCTGGCCTAGGACATTAGGATTCCTTCCACAGCTCCGGCTGCAAGGGCCAGGCCAGGTCCTGGGCAGCTCCCCGTCGCTGCAGCGTTCCCGCCCGCCCAGTCCACGTGGCGTTGCTGGGCTCCTGGCTAGATGCAGGCAAGATGGGACAGCTCAGGACGCCAGCCCGCTGCCACTGGGTGACACAGAATGTTGTTTGGGCATTATTTCATAGCAGATGGGCCAGCCCAGGGCCTGTCCCACCTTGTCCTCGAATTCCACTGGAGTCCATTTGGGGGGTCCTGCTGCACTCCACTGATCCCCAAGGAAGTATATAATAAGTGATACCCAGCCAGAGTCTACTCACTGTCACAAGCACAACGAGCTTATCCGAGAAAGCACTGAGGGGGCGCAGAGGGCCCTGCTGGTCCCAGGGGAACCACAGCTGTTCCTACCAACCCACATCTAAGGCCTGCCCGCCCACCCCGCGACCCTCCACTCCCTTGCTGCTCTGCCCCTGCCAGCGCCCAGCCCTGCAGCTCTGGGAAGGGGTTTCCAGAATCCTTCCTGAGCTGTGCCACTTACTCAGGGGACTCCCAAGCAGCCAGCCGCCAGTGCCAGTGGAGGGCTGCCAGGGAGGGCCAGTGCCCAGGCGGGCGTGGGGCTCAGACTTGCCCACTGCAGAGAATCGCTCTGGGGCTCCAACTTCCTTCCTTCCTAAGGAGCCAGTCTCGGCCAAAGTCTGGTCACTCCCAGACAGCTGACCAGACCGTTTGCCTTTTCCAGTTTCCCAGTCCTGCTAAGAGATGAGCTGCTTTCTCGGTTTCCTTTGGAAACTCCTTCCAACTAGCAGTGGGATCCCGGGGCCCAGGCGGCCGAGTTGGCTGCGGGGGCTGTTTTAAGTCTTGCTGGAGGCTTCTGGTTCCTCTCCCTCAGAGCCTTAACCCCTTTTCCCAGCCATGCTGTCCCTCCCACCACCCACCCACCTTTCCTACCCCACCCTCAAGGTCCCAGGTAGTTGCTCTGAAGAGTTTTAGTGGAGTGGCCCCAGGGTGATAGCTCAGGGAACAAACAAAAAAGGAATTCAGTGAAAACGTTTTTGTTTTTTTTTCACTTGTGAATTACTCCTGGGTCACTTCTGCCACTGGTAAAGCCAGAATTTCTCCAACAAGAACCTTGCAAAAGTCCAGTGAATCAGTTGGATCATTCTATGGATGCCAAAGAATATTTTGACCATAATACAGCACAGCCTGGAGCTAACAACTTGTCACTTGGACTTTTTTTAATGGAGTTCTTTAGCAACAAAGTACAGAAACATGCTCATTGCACACACCCAAGGAGACAAGCCCGAGCTCTTGGAAGAGGATGCTGTTCTGGTACTCGACTGTGGGAACCGGGAACCTGGTGTTGGATTTCAGACCCTGGACTGGGCCCACCGTGAGCCTTTCGGAAACTCAGACTCAGCGAGTGGGGGGAGGAACATTGGTGGTGAAACCAGCTTGGCCCAAGGCTTGACTGTGAGGTTCCCCCATGAAAATAAATACACAAAGCGCAAATCAGTGGGATGGGAGCAGCTTGACCACTCACCCTGACTCCAAAACTACCAAGGTACGACAGTGGCGTTGTCATTGAAACTCAGTTTTATGTGAATTTTAGCAAAACAGGAAACAAAGATAATGACTAAGTTCAGGGGATCAGACAAATGTGTCCAGTTGGAATGGACGCAGCAGGCTTCAAGGATTCTGGGCGTTGGGATGGCATGAGCTACCATGTAGAGTTTAGTCTGTCTGCCGCCTTGGTAGCCTCGGCAGCAGCAGCATCCCAACCCCGTTCTCTGTTTACTGCCTTCAAACAGACCTTCTTCCCCGTGCTTCGGGCCACAGCCTTGTCTGTGCTGGACTGATCAGTCTGACCTCGCAGGAAGCAAAGGGATGAGCTTAAAGAACAACCAAATGTTCCCCAGGGCGTGGGGGTAAGAGGGCCAGGAATGGCTTAGGTCCAGTAGGCTCAGCACTTGCCCCATGACCTCCTCATCTATCCTGAGGCAGAGTCTGGGCTCCCTGGAGGCAGGAGAGAGCCAGGGAGGGAGGACAGTGTCTGGCCTAGGCGGGCAGCCAGCACTCCTCAGTGGGCCTCTGGATTCGGACCTTCTTCTCTGTTGGCTCTTGCTCTGTTTGGACTGGATTATCCCTGAGGCCATGTCCTGCACAGAGCCCAGGTGTCTTGTTAGGCTGGCTGCGGGGGGCCTTCCCTCCCAGGGCAGGCCCTAACCTTTCCTCCTCAGGCAGCTGTCCACCTTAGGATGTCCGCCAGGCTGCAGGGAGGACGGGGTGCCGACTGCCACTTCTTTCCTTCCCACCATCAGCCACAGCCCCTTCACTCTCCTCTGCCCTTCTGTCACCACGTGGACGGCCTCACCGCCCCTGAGGTTAAGGTGGTAGAAGGCAGGAAGAAGCCTCCCAGGCTGGAGGCACTTGACCACACTGGCCCTCAGGGAGGGAGAAGTCCTCTGTAACTCATCTGGCTGTCATCCTGTTCCCATGCCCAGCTGCCCACCATCACCTTCCCCTCATCACAGTGAGAAAGGATAATGTGCAAGGAAAGTATTTTTATGGGTCATAAATGTATTTTACAGCAAATGAGGAGAAAGGTAGAAGGGTTTATTTTATTAATTGAGCTCTGACTTGGTGACAGTATGTGAGCATTTGTGAGGGTCTCAGTTCCTTGGAGCAGCCACCCAGGTTTTCACATGGGGGTTGGACTGTGGGTGTGTGCATGCGTGTCTGTGTGTGGTGGGTGGGCACACAGTGGGACTTGCTGGGGCAGCTCCTCGAGAATCAACTGCCCAACTCTAACAGACATTGGCAGCAGCTGGACTTGGCATTTCCTTGCTCACTGCCGGATGTGGCCAACCTCTGCCCATGTCCAAAGCTCTGCAGAGTGGTCTGGATGCCTGTAGCAAGGCCCCTGGGGAGGCCACTTCCTATGCTCCTGGCCCAGCTGGCCACATTGGCCAAAGAGCCAGGGCTGGAGTCTGGGACTTTGGTTGTTCTTTAGGGCATCCAGCCACCTCATCCCTCAGATGCACAACTCTGTGCTCCACGTCGGCTCGGGGTGGGGGGTGATATGAATGTCACAGGAGGAGACACCTTCTGTCTTTGTTTCAAAGAAAGTGATGTGCCATTTGTTAATATACAAGAGAAATATTGAAAATATATTGAAAAGAGCAATTTTAAATTATTTTTGGCTTATGTTGCAATATTTATTTTCTTGTATTAGAAAAGATTCCTTTGTAGAGAAAAATGTATTTTTCATTAACGCAAAGACCTATTTCTCCTTTTTGTACGTTGTCCGTGTTCGCTACCCTTAATGAGCAATAGAATGTACGGCCACCCTGGTGTGGCCAGCGCCCACCGTGCCCTGCATGACTCTGTGTTGCCGCTGCTACGTAGCTTTCAGTCCCATCCTGTCCTGCTTACTCATGGGGGTTTCCAGGCCTGGCCCCTCCAGGGGCCTGTGTCTCAAGGAGCCCTTTGCACTCATGTGTTGGCAAACGCAGTTAATAAAGCAATGTTTTCTGTGCTGGTTGGTGTGAGGTTTCATTGTATTGAATGGGGAAGGGGTCCAAGAGTCCTGTGTGCACACCTCACAGTGGGCTCAGTGAAATAGCCATGTTCCCGGGGTGTCCCAAGGGACCTGCTGCTACTCCTAAGGAGTCATAATAGTAATGATTAGTCACCACTGCACATGCCCAGGGTTGTGCTTAAGGGCTGAATTCCTTTTGCTCCTCACTGTTGTCCCCCTAGGATTTGGAGCGGATGAGGGACATATACCCAAAGCCACGCCTCTGGGAAGAGGCCAAGTCCTGTGTCACAGGCAGGACTGTTGGAGTCTTGCCACCTGCATGAGCTACCCGCCTGGGATAGAGGGAAGGTTTGGGAGGAAGCTTGGCTTTTTTCCCACATTGGGGAAGAATTTTGCCAGGTTTGTTTCATTATTTTCTGAGTACTAACTCCACTCCAGGCTCTGGAAAAAGTGGGAAAGGTCACAGGCCCTGCCCACCTGCCCAGGGCATCTCCCAATCCAGCAGGGACATGGACACAAGGGAACCGGGAGTCATTATGGAGGTCTGGGCTGATCCAGTTTGGGGGCGGGGTGCTGTATTCAGGAAGTTACACCATTCATTCATTCATTCATTCAACAATGACTATGGACCGCACACCTGGTTCTGCCAGTGTGCTGGGTTGTGCACCGTGCCTGTCACCAGGACCCTGCCCTCCTAGAGCTTCCGGGCAGTGGAGACCTGAAGAACAAACAGTTGCTTGCCCAAAGGAGCTGGATAGGAGGAGGGGACAAAAGGCATTCCTGGTAGAGGGTTTGGTATAGGCAAAGACGGGGCGAGCTGTGCGTGGAGAGGGTCTTACACCTGAGCCCAAGGCTCTGTGGAGTGGGATTGAACTGGGAATCTAGTTTCTGGAACCTCTGACTTAGTCATTTAAGGCAGCGAATTGCCCACTTTTCTCCTCAGTACAATAGATGGCAGGTCCCCAAAGTCATCTCCAAATGCAAAGTTCTGTGACTTCACAGTATTGGAAATAAATCTGGGGGCTCCTGGGAGGCCAGCCCACCTCGCTGTGGTTCAGCGTAACTCTCGGCCAGCTACCCTGGTCTCAGCACCCGCCTGTCCCTTCTTCCACTGCCCGCCCAATGCCACAGTAGTCTGGAAGGGTCATGCAAGGTCCCCTCACACCCCTGCACCAACAGCACACCCAGCTGATAACAGGCACCTGTGGGTCTAAAGCAGCAATGTTCAAGAGAAATATAGTGCAAGTAATTCTAGTAGCCACACATTTAAGAAGTACAGGAAAGGTGAATTTTCATAATTTTATTCAATCCATTATATCCCAAATACGATCATTTAAACATGTAATTAATGTGAAATAGTTATTAATGAAATATTTTACATCCTTCCCTTAGAGCACGCGTCAGTTCGGACCAGCC